TACTGTTTTTCCATCTGAGAATTTTATTCTAATATTTCTTTTAGAGATGGTTGTTCATGCCAAATTCTCTTAATTTTCTTCCATCTGAGAATGCCTTTATTCCACATTCATTACTGAAGAAAATTTCCATTGGGTGCAGAATTCTGAATTCCTTTCTTTCCATGCCTTAAAAATGTTGCAGTTTTCAGGCCTTGGTGGTTTCTCATTAGAAATCTAATTTATTAAAATGCTTTCCCCTTACATTTAGTGCTTTATTTTTCTCTAACTCATTCAAGACAATTTAACTTTAGTATTCAGTAGCTGCACGATCATGCATCAGATATGAATTTTTCTTCAGTTGATCCCAGTTAGTGAATTCACTGAGCTTCTTAAATTTATGCTTATAGGTTTCATCAAATTTTAAAGATTTCAGTCATTAATTATTTAATTTTTTTCCATGTGACATTATTTCTGTTCTCTTTGGATGCTGATGATGTTGCCACGAGAACTTTAGATATTGCCTTACCAATTCTTTTTTTTTTTTTTTAAGATTTATTTATTTGTGCATACAGAACTGGGGTACAGGCCAGAGGTTCAGGGGCGGCGAGAGGCTTCACTAGAGACAGAGTGGGGAGCAGAACAGGCAGATCGACAAGGTACACTGCTGAGGGGAGCAGCGGGTGGGTCAGGAGAGGTCTGCCACGCCATGTGGTCACCTCCGGGGGCAGGCGGGAATTGAATTCATGCGGAAGTGGCTTTAGATTCTCAGTGCTGTGCTTTAACCCGCTGCGCCACCAGGGAGGGCCTGCCTTACCAATTCTTAAAACTATGTTCATTTTTCAATTCTTTCTTTTTTTTCTTAAGATTTATTTATTTATTCATACAGAACTGGGATACAGGCCAGAGGCTCAGGGGCGGTCAGAGGCTTCACCAGAGACAGAATGGGGACTGACAGAGTGCACTGGTGAGGGAGCAGCGGATGGGTCAGGAGAGGTCTGGGGATCACTTCAGGGGCAGAGGGTCTAACTCGCACCAAAAAGCTACGGCCAGCTTGCTGTGCTGTGTCTTTTCTGAACATTGTTGTTCAGACCAGACGTGATTGACTTGTCATTTCATTTTACTATTGAGCCTGTCTAGTAAATATTTAATTTTTCTGAGCCCTCCCTGGTGGCACAGTGGGTTAAAGCACAGCACTAAGAAGCTAAAGCCACTTTAGCTGAATTCCATCTTCTCCTAGCCGGGAGGTGACCCACATGGCCCAGTCAGGAGAGGTCTCTCCGGACCAGCCGGCTGCTCCCCTCAACAGTGTACTTATCAGTGGGCCTTTTCTGCTCCCAGCTCTGTCTCTGGTGAATCCTCTCACTGCCCCTGCACCTCTGGCCTGTACCCCAGTTCTGTATGCATAAATAAATAAATCTTTAAAAAATATATATTTAATTTTTCTCTTTTTGTTTTACTGTTCCAAAATTTTCACTTAATACCTTACATTTTTTTACTGAGACTTCACTATTTCCATTCATTTACAGAATATCACCCTTCTTTTCCTGACATTATTATAGTAATTCTTGATAGTAGTTCTATAGTATACTTGATAGTATACTTGATAGTATTGTGAAATTTAATGCCAACACATGTCATCTTGACCTCTGGGCATGTAATAAGTAGTCAACCCATTCAAATTGCAAGCTTCAGTGTGCTCTCTGATTGTGGTTCCAATGGTAAGTCAGTTTCAAAGCCTTTGCAGTACTATTCTGTCTGTCCACAGGTGCCCCATCCAGTGGCCAGTCTGGGACCTGGGCAGTGGTCTACTCCATAGTTCAGTTCACAAAGACTTTGATGCTCTTTGTAGGGTCACATCAATACATCACAGCCATAAGAGTTCATATACCATACTATAGGATTTCTCTCTTGATCTTGCTTCTATGTTCTCTATGATATTTTCCAGCTCCCTGAGTACTTATTTCTGCTCATCTATCCAGAAAGCTAGGACTTTAGTTTCCCTAATCTCTTATGTACTTCCAACAAACACCCCTGAATCTGGAACCAAGAAGCAGGAGGGAAGAGAGAGAAAGAAACAAAGGAGATTTGCCTTCATGATCTGGGGATATATTTTCCCTAGTCAGAGAGGATTCCTGTCTATACATCACTAGCTAATGAAAAAGCAACTTGGTTTTGAGCAGAGGTCTCTTTAAGAGAAATAAAACTTTGATAAAAAGAAGTTTGTGCCTTATTTACAATAATAGCTTTTTTATTGGGCTTCAGTTGTACAATGGAGAATCAAAATCTCCAAATAAGTTTTTGTAATAATAGCAATTACATTTATAGCCACAAGTAATAAGTATTATTTAAAAATAAATTATCTGTACAAACTGTCAGATGTTTCCCCTAATGTTATGATGCTGCCTTGATGTGACTGCTAAATTCACAGGCACATACTGCCACTGTTTCCCTGCAGATGCCTCACCCTCTTGAACTTGGAGAAACCTAAGGCTCAGCGCCATCCAGAGTCACAGAATCAAATGAACCTTGTAAAGCTGAGAAATTCAATGTTCTCTTTGCCCTTACATTACTGTGACTGTTCACAGCAAGAGATAAAAGGTCAGTACTTTAACTTTCAAAATACCAACTTGGACAAGTCAAGATAAATACAGCCTTGAACTCATTTGCATGGCTGTCTCCAGTCAATTCCTTTAGAGAGATGTCCTTGACGATAGTATGACACGAACATGAAAATATAAAATTCACATTTGACTTCTTCCTCTTCCCTCTTCATGACTGAAGTTCAATGATCAGAGATAAAGTTACCATTATAGAAATTGAATAGTACTATTCCATATTTCAAGGAGGAATATAACATCAGAAAAAAATCTCTTTAAGAAAGGAGCTTATGTTCGAGGGAAACAATGAAACAAATCATTTGACTCCATAGTAGTTGTTTTTCTTTTTTCAGATACTAAGTAATAAGGCAATGTATTGATGAAGCAACTAAAAGATGGAGAATGTCTATCACTTCAGGCAATAAATTAAAATGTTCTGTCAATATCATCTCTATGATTACTACTCTAGTAATCATATCAGATATTACCAGATTTTAGGTAATATAAACTGAAATAATGTATATGAAAAGAACAAACTATAGGAACAGAAAGCATACCAGTGTTTATGGGGGCTAAGGGTGAAAAAGGAGTTGATCTTATTGGGCACAAGGAAATCTTTGCAGTGATGAAAATTTTCCATAATTTAATTATAATGCACTTGCAGGCATTTGTCAAAATTTGCAGAGTGAATATTATTGTACTTAAAATATTTCTTAGAATTTAATATTTAAGTGCCTAGCACATAATAGGTAGTAAAAAAAAGAAAGAAAAACATGGAAATCAGCTTTTGCTTTAGGTGTTGTGTTATGTTCTAGAAAATGTGGTGAAAGTGAAGGTCAATGTGTAAGAAAATCTCATACTATTCTCTTGAAAGCCAGCATGGTCAGTCTTGTATGAATTTGGATGCCTATAAACTTTATTTTGTCTTTTAATCACATTATTTTTTATTGAGGTATCATTGGTCTACAAAACTGTACATGTTTTAGCGGTATAGGTTTATACCGATTCAGACGTAGTAACCACAACACGCCCATTCTTAATCCTCTGCCATAATCCAAAAACCTCTTTGCCCTCTTTGTTCCCTGCCCTCCACTCTCTCAATTCTACAGCCAGATTTCTAGAAAGTGTATGGTTTCATTTAGGCTGTTCCTTTGTCTTGCTTCTTCAGATTCCATATATGAGTGAAAACGCCCAGTGTTTGTCTTTCTCTTTCTAACTCATTTCACTTATAATCTTTACTCCTATCATTTGTGACAAGTAAGATATAGAAATGGAGGAAGAATATAATTCTCTATAAATTCTCTTAGCCTACTTTCCAAAATAAAATATTTCCCAAAAATATTATCATGCCA